GAGTTAATTTTAGGTTTTAGACTATATTAACTACATTCATCTAGTCCAGCAAGGGTGGCCATTGATTAGGGAATTCATCATTCAAACAAGGACAAAAGAGGACACAAAAGTAGAAATGCAAAGTTAGAAATAATTACTATAAATAGGAACAGAGTAAATCTCACCTTGGAGCAGAAGACTGTGACCAGGTGAATTGTATGTCTCACTTTTCAGTCTGCTGGTCCAATGCTAACTCTTGATTGGCAATCAGTCTTTTAGCTCGTCATCTTTAAATTAAAATTGGGAGGACAGCACTTCCAACAGAGGATGGTCCACTATAAAAGAGGATGCATGGACATCCTGTGCCTAGCACTGTATCTCTGAGAATTTACAAATATTATGGATATCGTCTTCTTTTCTCTGCCTCTTAGCATCTGATTCTTGGAAGTGCATGGATTCTGAGCATGGACAATTTTGCTATCCTGTGTAAAGTCCACTGGTAGATCTTAGCCTCCATGAATTTGCCTAATCCTTTCTTAAAGTCTTCTCAGATAGTGATTATCATCCCATTATTTGGGTAGTGGATTCCATAAACTGCTTGGCCACTGTGTGAAGCAGCATTTTCTTTTGTCTTTTTTGCCACATTGCTAGCGAACTTCATTGGATGATTCTGCACTCAACTATTATGAGTTTGGGAATACTCATGCTGGCCATAAATTCCTTTTCTCAGATGGAGCTTCAGTTAGATCTCAGAAGGCACTTAAGCTAAATGATGATCAAGGTGGTGCTCAGTTTCTACAGTTCTCTTTAGCAGCTGTTCATTGACAAAATATGAGCACCTGTATAAGGAGGCATATTACTGAGGAGATGTTGGTGAATATGGCTAAGATGAGTCTACAGAAAGGGCTGCAGCATAAACAGTGTCATGGAATACAATGTGACAGAAATCTCTTTGGAGACTGTGTATCTCATATATTGGCATTTTTGGATTGTTTTTATTAATGTTACTTTTGTGATATGGCATACAAATACTGGCTTTTTGACCTGTAGTATTGTTTTCGCTCCAGATAAATTTAATGCTTCTTCAGGACATTCAGGCTTGTGCTTAATTTGGAAAAAAATAAATGTTAACAAATCAACTTGCTCACTAATTGGGAGAGAAAGTACAGTGGGGTTGACCCAGCTTCAGTAAAGGAATTCAGAGAATAAGCAAATACTTCCAGAGTGTAACTACAGTGGGATCTCGGCTCACGAATGCCTCAGTTCACAACCAAATTGAGTCACGAACAAAAATTTTGGCAAAATTTTGCCTCAGGACACGAACTCCATACAAGCAAAATGTTGCCGCAGGCCATGAACTCCACACAAGCAAAATGTTGCCTCAGGTCACAAACTCCACACAAGCAAAATTTTGCCTCAGGGTGCAAACTTCACACTCTGCGATCGTGCCAGTCTCCCCCTGAGTGTGCCCACAATCACGCCCATCCCCTGCAGTACGATCGTGGCCATTTCCCCCCCGCTCCCGCAGCACAATCGCTATCGCACGATTATGGCTTGGAGTCTCCCTCCAAACAATAACCTTCCCCCATACCTTGGGTAGTGTTCTCTACTGTACTGTACTTTCTTACTTTGTTGTTCTTTGTTAGTTTCAAATTTTTGTGATTAAAAAAAATGGTTACAGAATGGATTGACCTTATTTACATTGAACCTTATGGGGAAATTTTACTGGGGTCACAACCAATTTGGGTCACAACCAGAGTCCTGGAACGGATTAAGTTCATGAGCCAAGGTACCACTGTATATGGAATCTAGCATTTCATATAGATAACTCGTAGGAAGATACTTCCATGCTATGTATGTTTTTAAAGAAGCTATTTACCCTATGCATTATGGTGATTGTCGCACAATACATTTTTACTTATTTAACCTCCCTATTTAGAGCCCTAACCAATTCTCAAAGTTGCTTACAAGAATCTTCAAAACTAACTCTATGCAAGCATTCACAGGGATCAGATAGGACGATGGTGTACTTCTATAGTTTGGATGAAATGGAAGACTGTGGTTTTGAACATCCATGGGATGGAAGCTTTCACATGGCCTTTGCTTCTTGCAAACAAGAGCCTATGAGCTATGAGCCGCTGCCATTACAAGGTCTGTGATAGAGCTCCCCTCCCACAAAACTGACATGGCATCTTTGTGTGAAAGCTGTTTGGTTGCAAGTCTAATGGTGACCTTCATCCAGTCCTGAGGTGATTGTTTGGAGGCTGCCAAAAATGTGAACCGGCCCATTATTGGAGTCCTTAAAGAACATGACAAGAACTTTTCCCATCATTTCAGTGAGTGCTTATGAAAGTAAGGTGGTTGTAAATGGCATGAAACATAGTGATGATAAAATCCAGTGGTGAATAGAGTTTATTAACCTGGAATAAAATTAAATGATTCTAGCTGCAATCCTAAGCATGGTTAGGTCACTTAAACCCTACAGACCTCAGTGGGATTTAAGTAACCTGAATGTGTACAAGATTGCAGCCCTTGCCTGTACTTTTTGTAATTGAATGCAAAGGCTGAAGGAAGCATAATGACTCTACCAAGGAAGCTATTGAAAAGATTTAAATTGTCATTAAAATGGTCATTAGTTTAAGCTGAAATAAATCTCTCTCCTTTCAATAAAACAACATTTGGGAAGAAGGGAAACAGTTGCCTTGAGCACTGCTCAGTAGAATTGCTCTTCTGAACTTGAGTTTTACACATAATTATATTTTTTGAACTCTGCCACTGTACTTTCCCCATGCTCACTGCATATTCTAATTTTGGGTATATTACTCTAGAAAAATCTGTGCACAGAGGATTAAGTGTGGGTAGGTATGCATATGTTTTAATAAATAGGTACTAAATTGAGGACTCCCTGCGCCTGCCTGAATGATAAGTTCTTCCTCTGAGGTTCTTTAGATTATTCTTCCTCAGGCAACTGGGGGCATGGCCTTTTTGTTGGTGGTTCCCTAAATGGGGAATGCTTCCTCAAGGAGGCTCATTTGGTGCCAAGTGAATTCCTTTAATTTACTTCTCCATTTATTTATAATATTTGTCAAGTCTTTTATCACGGTTGCTTATTTTATCCTCTCTTTTTAATCTTACACTGCAATCCTATACCTGTTTACCTTGAAATAAAATCACCTTACGGTTTGCTGCATGGTAAATAGCTATAGGATTTCTGCCAAAATGATTTTAATTGTTTTATATTTCCCCCACTGATTTTTTTCAAAATGTGGAATATTTTAAATCATCTTAGATTATTTAAATGGCTTGTAAGGATTCAAAGATGGGGTTCAAGGACTGAAGGATGGGATATAAATACATGAATATATGTATGATTGGTTTTGTTGTTATTAGATTTGCTATAAAGTTATAAACATTTTTGGCTTGTAAATGAGATCTTCCAAAGTATTTGTAACTAAGAATGGATTGAGATTTCATTGCATTCTTTAAGGACAGTGTACTTCCATTTTTATTGTTCATTTTCATGCAACAATTTTCTAATACAAAAGAAGGAAATATAGGAGAATCCCAGGAGATGGCAGCATGCAATAACACATGAAAACTGCACAGTAACCGTAGAGCAAGGGAAGCCTATTGGAATTGCACTGGTGTCTGCGCAAAATATGCAGGCATTTTTTCTTTGAAGCAATATTTGCAAACCTCCTGAATTCTCTAAAAATATGTTTGGTTTAAATGGAACACATTGCTTTCAGATTTGTGACATATGGGCCTTTCCCAATATTTGCTATACCAACATAAACACTAAAATTGGATCACACCAACTGCAGGTGCTACTTCAGCATCATAAACCATAACAATTATTCTAGGGTTGAAGGTACTCAGGTTGTTTTTTCAGGGAAATAAAGCTGGCACTGAGATTTAGCATAGGGAGCCCATTTGAGATTGCTTTCTGGAGACCTATTGTTGCAGTTTTAGTCCTGTCCCTTTTGCCTTCTGCCCCATTCTCCACTGGAATGCATAACCGCCCCCCCCCCCCAAAAAAAACTTCTCTGATCTAGAGACCTCAGGCTGAAAGTGGGTTCCCACCCCTCACTTAGAGTGCCATTGGGGTGGGGGATAAACCCACTCCCTGTCCCCGGCAATCCCAGCCATTAGAAATTGACCAAGTTTCCATTTGGTGTATAGTTCTGCCTCTTCATCTGCACAGCACCATCTTGGTTCTGGTGGGAGACAGATGGAAAGTTTTCAAATAATTCATACATATGTAGGGTTGGATCTAAACCTCCCTTTCTGTTTCTTCCATTTGGATGCGGAAGGGGTTCCTCTTGAAGAAGGAGGAACAGAGGCAAATTTTGTTGATTTCCTGCTACAATCCTCCACCTACCTCCTGCATAAACCTCAGGAAAGACATTCTACATCATTTGGAATGGGGATAAAGTCAATAAAAGCTGGGGAACCAGAAAATGGTCAAAGGGTGGGGGAAGGTAGGTGGGGCTGGGGAAAAGAGTGTCAGAATCTGGAACATCAGTGGAAGACCAGATTTGACCGTTGGGGTTGAGGTTCTCTTCTAGAGAGTCCTTAAGTCTTTAAAGCAGATTGGGGCAGCTGGTGGGACACAGGAGATTACAGCAGAAAAGAAAGAAAGGATGGGACTTTCCTTTGCAGTGTCCTCCTTTGGTAAGATCCTATAGCTTCACCAACTGCAGGATGTTCTTTCACAAAAATAAATAACTGTGGGCATAATCAAGAGCAAGTTAGGTTTATTTAGATCCCATTGAAATCATGAGGCCTTGCTGATATGTGGATAATACAAACTTAAGTGAGATTTGCTTCCCCAGAGCCACCATAGGAATGCCTGTGTGATCTGAAAGCAATATGAACTCTTGAAAACCTTGAAAAAATTGTCCATAACTGCCTTGTGAGGTCAACAAATGCCAAGGCATTCAAAGAACATGAAAATCCACTGTCTCCTGTTAGCAGGTAGTTACACTTGCCTCTATTTTTGTACTTCTCTCTGAATATAGGAACAGGTGTCAGAGAAGATGTCTTCCTCATCTGGAAAGAGTTGGAGGAAGCCAAGAATACGCTAATACACATTCAGAGAATTCTGATAGAGTTTGGAGAGTCTGACTTGGTTACAGGTATTTTCAAAACCGTATATAGCACTTCTGGCTGCTTTGCTTCACTCATGATACTTTTGAAAATGATGCTTCTTTGTGCACCATTCACAATACATGTTGGTCGTGCTGCAGTTGTTCAACTTCCTTGCAAGCAGGTGTGCCACCCATCAAGTCCAGTATGAGACAGTGTCAGGGTAGCATATTCATCATGACATTTACAGCTCCTTGTGCTTTGAGGATTTTTTGGCTCTAATACTGTCGCAGCACAATCTTCTGTGTATCTCTTCAGAGGGAAGCCTTAAGTTCAGTAGGATTTACTGTCAGGTAAATGTATATAGGACTGAAGATAGAAGAGAAGTTATGGAACCAGAACCACCATCCAGACAGCTTCTGTGCGATCCTGCCAATTCACTTGTTCATTCATTGCATAATTTGTTTTTCGGCGCCAGGCTAAGACCTTTTTATTTAAAACTTATTTTAATTGCTAAATTGTTGACTTAATTAGGATTTTAAAATTAGCCGAGAATGCACGGGGGGGTTTTAAATTTTTTTTCTTTTAAATTGTTATATTACTATTATTTATGTATGCTTATATGTATTCTTTGTGAGCCGCCCTGAGGCTTTGTTGCGATGGGGGCGGCATAGAAATGTTTTAAATAATAATAATAATAATAATAATAATAATATCAGTTGTGAATTTAATCTTCAATTTCCAGTTTGATTCCATTTGTCCTAAGAGTTCTGAGGTCAAGTACAAGTTCGGTCAGTTTCTATTAGCAATGATGGATTTATTATTATTTTTATTATTTCATTTCTATATCACCCATAGCCAAAGCTCCCTGGGCACTTTACAACAAGTGTAACACCAAGAATTAGAAATTATTACAAATACAATTAGCATGATTAAATTTATTTATTTAAAACTTTTCTATGTTGTCACCACATGCCTCAGCATCTTGAGAAAACAAAAAAAAAAACAAAAAAAAAGCAATGGTTAATGATAAAATATTAATTTTTAAAATAGCAATTAAATAAAAAGGTTTTAACCTGGCATCAGAAGGAATATAAACTCAGTGCCAGATGCACCTCTCCCGGGAGCGCATTCCATAATCTGGGCACCACCGCAGAGAAGGCCCTGCTCTAAATTTGCATAAAGGACAATAAAAAGACAACAAAAAAGACCCAGCTGAGAATAAAAGAAAGGTACCTGGAGTGTGGTGTAGTGGTTAAGAGTGTGGGACTGGGACTCAGACAATCTGGGTTTGAGTCTCCGCTCGGCCATGGAGCCAACTGGGTGACTTTGGGCCAGTCACAGACTCTCAGCCCAACCTACCTCACAGGGTTGTTGTTGTGAGGATAAGATGGAGGAGGAGATGTAAGCTGCCTTGAGCCCTTTGTAGGAAAAAGGCAGGATATAAATCGAGAAATCAGTCAATCAATCAATCAATCAATCGAGAGGTCTTTAAGGACCTCCACTAAGAGCTATCTTAACTTGACACTGAAAAGATGACAAATTTAGTGCCAGGCAGGCCACAGCATGGAGGTTGTTCCAAAGATGGGGGTCACCACTGAAAAAGGCCCTCCCCCAGTAGCCGCCCTCTGAGCCACTCAGTAGGCTACGCATACTGTCCGGCTAGACCAGGGTTGCGAGAGACTCTCCAACAGTTATTGGGGTCCTAAGCCATGCAGGGCTTTATAGATTAATACCAGAACCTTGAATTGGGACTGGAAGCAAGCAGGCCGGAACTGGACTTATATGTTCAGACCTTTGGGTTCCAGTTATTAATCTGGCTGCCACATTCTGTACCAGTTGCAGCTTCTGAACCATCTTCACGGGCAGCCCATGTTGAGTGCATTGGAGTAATCTAATTTAGAGACCATCAGAGTATAGATTACTGAAGCCAGGATCTCCCTGTCCAGGTAGGGCCACAGCTGGGCCAGCAGTAGAAACTGGTGGAAGGCACCTGAGCCACTGATGCCACCTGAGCCTCAACTGAGGCTTTCCCTAGCTTTTATAAATTCAGTCACTCCCCCTAGCTTTATAAAGAACTTTATCTTCTTGATTAATAAGCCATTTAAAGAGTGTATTTCTTATTTACATTAAGCATTATAAGTAAATGTATATCTTACAACTTTATAAACTTTATAAGTAACTTTATAACTTGGGCTGCCTATCTATATACTCTTACCTGGGAGTAAATACCAGTGAACTCAATTACTTCTGAGTAAACCTATATAGAATTCCACTGATAGTGGCCTTATTGGGCAGAATGCTGATCTGCATCTGCCTTCAGATGGAGGTGACCACTTTATCATAGTTTCAGATGATGCATTTGAAAATGCCAACTTAGGCACAACCACCTGAAACGTCTGCTTCACCGCTTTATATAATTAGGCCAATTAAAAGAAGCAGAATTGCTATATAAAGGGGAAAAGTATGGATTTATCATGTTATAATTGATTAAAAATACCATCTTATAGACTGTAGAGTAGGGTGCTGGGTTGAGTATATTAGTTTCAGTTGAATGACAGCACCTGCTAATTTGTTTACATTTTTATAACAGCCACCAAAGCCAGCTGTTCACCATGTGAGTCAAAAGCAAAGGATTATATAAATTCCAAGGAGTGGCTACAGAAGAACGGCTTGAAAGCACAGAAGCTCACCATATCTAAAGCGTTTGGTGACTGTGCTTTTCGTCACATGGATGGGATCGTTGACATAAAAACTAAGCCAGATGATGAGTCTTTGCAAACTGATGCTGTAGGTAACCCACCTATTTTGGTCTGCTTGGTTCTTTTCTCAGCTGTAGTTTTTGTTGTGTAGAAGTTATAGATGTCCTGGTTATGCAATAAATAGGGTAGCATTCCTGAGCAAAGGACTCTTCATGTGAATTAGACTACAATTTTTAGCAAAGGCACAAGGGGTAAAGGCAAACATAGTAGCATGTTGTAGCTTAAAGCTACAATAACCAGCAACTCAGCTTTGGGAAAGGCACTGCACACTGTTGACATGGTGGAAACTGCAGAAAAACTGGGACAACATCAAATGGTCAGTAGTCATGCAAAAGAGACAAGCCAGGGAAGGAGTAGAGTGACCATCTAGGGAACCGTGGAGGATTGTATTGGCACTCCAAGTGGCCCAGATTTGATCCCAGCCCTGAGATTTCCTACCTCAGACTAAAGTTTTAAGGTGTGTTTGCAAGGGGACGATGTAAGGGCAAATTTCCCATTATTATTTTTATCTTCTATTCATAAGAACATAAGAAAAGCTACAGGTATGTTGGATGATACCAGTGGTCCATCTAGCCCAGCATTCTGTTCACACAGTCATGGACCAACTGCCCACTGGATACAAGCAGCGTATGAGAGCAACAAACCCTTCCCACCCAAATGTCCCAGCAACTGGCGTACATAGGCACACTACCTTTGATGCCAGAAGTAGCGTATAGCCTTCAGGACCACTAGTGGCCATGATAGTCTTCGCCTCCATGAATTTGTCCCATCCCCTGTAAAGCCATCCCACTTGCAGATACCACTAGAATGTAAAGAACTTGGCTCATTCAGTAAATTGCACAGAGTGTGATCTCTGCTCAGCAATGAAGAAAATAGCTCTTTTGTTATTGTGAAGAAATGGATGGTTTTATCAACGTCTTCAAATGTGTTGCCAGCTGATTGATCTAGAGCAGGGGTGGTCCTCCAACTGTTATTGGACTGCAAATTTTATCAGCCTCAAGACCTGGAGGACCACACATTAAGCATTGCTGATCTAGAAGCATAGAAAGTCTCAGGGGCTTTAGTGCTATTTCACCTTATTACAAAAACTTGAATTAGCCCTTTCAACATTAGAACAGATGTAAGAGTGGAACTTTCACTCTCACATCTGTTCTAATGTTGAAAGGGTGTAGAAATATGTGATAATACTATTCCACTCCATCAGTTGATACATTTGATAAGCAGCTATGGTTGAGGTTTATTTCTGCATTGGTACTTCCACACAGGTGCAGGTTTAACCATGCTTCATGGAGTAAAATTTCCATGCACTTTTTTATTTCTGTAGGTGACCAACAAAAAGATCATCGGTGCAAAATACTGTGACAAGTTTATGCATACATTTCTGGAAGATGGTTCCATTGTCCATATACATTTAAATGATGAAAGATGCATGCAATATGCAGATCGAATGAGGAATGCTCTTGACCAAATGGAAAAAAGGTGCTCTTAGTTTCTAATGAAATATTTTTTGTAAAGCTTTTTCTTGAACTGGAAAAAGTGTCTAAAAAGCATTTGATTCAAACAGCTATGAACACCAAGGTACTATGATAAACTAGTATGAAATATTCTAATTTTGCTTTAAAACTATTTTAATTAACATCTTAAAATATGCCCTACATATAACAATTAATGCAGTTATCAGAGTGTCTTAGTTGAAATGCATTATAGACTAGGTGTGCCTGTTCATTCACAAAGGCCCATCACCAAAAACATTTTATTCAATGCCTATCAAAATCCAAATGATTTCAAATTTAAAATGGCCCACTCTTCATCGTTATTACTCTATTTTCCATGAACACCCCCGTGAAATGGTTGATTGTGGTGCTTCAAACATGCCTTTATGTATGCATACATTTGAGGTCCCCACAGGGCATGGGGAAGTTAGCCATGTTATTGGAGGTAACAACTCCAGGTTGGTGAAAATTACTTTTATGATATTTTATACCAAAACATCATCTGTTCAAATATCCATTATTCATTTTATTGAGAAGTTTTTGAATTGGTGCATGAGTAATTTATCAGGAGTTTGTGAAATTATGCAAGATTTATTTCTTTATTTAGTGCAGTGTGGTGTGATGGTTACAGTGTTGGACTTTGGGTTCTAGAACTGGGTTCTAGTCCCTACTCAGCCATGAAGCTCACTGGGTGACTTGGAGCCAGTCACTCACTCTCAGCTTTCTTACAGATGGTTGTTGTGAGGATAAAATGAAGCAATGCTAAGCAACCTTAGTACTTCACAAGAGGGAAAAAGGTGGGATATAAATCCAATGCAATAATATGACATTTATATCTCACCTTTACTCCAGGATGCTCGAGAAGAATACATAGTGTGCCAGCCTCATGGTGCACTCACACCAGGATTGCTTTGCATATTCCCTGCCCATGTCCAGCACTCTAACCCAGCCTTCCCTACAAATGATTTTGCACTACAACCCCCAGGATTTTTAACCATTGACCATGCTGGCTGGGAATGCTGGGAGATGTAGTCCAGTTCATCTGAAAGATGTCTGGTTGAAGAAGATTGCTAGGATAACTATGCCATACTTCCTTTGCTTGAACATGGGGAGATACTGGATACCATTCTTGTATCCACAACTCTACCCCTTAGTATAAACAATAACCTTTTAAAATATTTACATATTTAAATTTTGTTTTTGATAGTAACCTCATTTTTAAAAATATTTGATTTCTGTATGAGATTGGTAAAGTGCTTTTTATGAGCTCAGAAGAATTAAAAAATGGCCAGGTGACCATTCTGCACAAGAATTCTCTCTTGTGCTTCTCATTTCATCTGAAAAGTATTTTTGTATAGGCTTCAGGAGGTGAAGCAAGGAAGTCGGGCACTCTTTGGGGAAATAGCAGAAGATCACATCTATATTCTGGTTGATACATCTCACTCTATGAAAGACAAGCTGCCAGTGGTGAAAGAGAAACTATTTCAACTCATACAGGTGAGTGACAGCTGAGATTTCAGAGGCATGGGTTGTGATTCAGAATGAATGCATACAAATATAATAATTACACCTCCCTCCTTCTACCCTGCTGCACAAGAATATAGAAATCTCCCTTGCTCTGGTGGGTCCAATATTTTCTACAATGGCTAGACGTAATTTTCCACAGTTTGCAGACTGGAGTTTTTCCCAGTTCTCCCTGGAGTTGCCAGGACTTGGAACTTTGAACCTTCTCTGTGCAAACCAAGGGACAAGTGGTGGTATCATGATAAAGTGGATCCAATATTTCTCAGAGACACTGAGGAAGCATTACAATCTCCACTAATGCATCAATGTTAATGTAGTTTCTAGAAGAGTGGAATCTACTCCTGTAGTGATTGCTTTTCAAGTATAGCAAGACAAAACATTTTTAAAATTGTGATGTTTTTTCATATGATTGAGAATTCAGCAGTGCTTTTTCTTGCAGGAACAACTGCAAAACAAAACAAAATTTAACCTCATTAAATTTGATGCTGATGTAGTCGCTTGGAAAGAGCAACTTGCCAATGTTAATAAGCAGAATTTGGAGAATGCTTTACTTTGGGTAAAGGAACTTCAGGTAAATATAGGAAAGAACTTTAAGAATATAAAACTGACCTAGGTTGTTTCTAGATGTCCTGTCCTCCCAATCCTGTAAACTTCTTTTTTTTTGTCAATAAAGTTTTGTATTGTGCAAATCCTTGAAAGTAGTAAGGCACAACTTAGGCTATTTGCATCAGTAATTCTGTAATCAGTTTCTGAATTTTCCATGTCATTATTGGAATCTAGCACTCATGCTTGCTCAAAGGTACACTTGGTTTAAAATGGCTCCATTCTGTCTTGTGTTATCATGCAGTTGTGAGAGAAGAGACCTGACTGAGATGTTACATTCCTGTTCCAGTTCAAGGTCTCACTGGGAATGCTCTGCTTGTTCTCCCTGCTCTCTTGCTTGGCCTTTCTTAATCCAAGACTTCCTGGGTAGTAGTACTCAAGCATCATTCTGTTCAATCTCCAAGGAACTTGGGGTGGTCTACAAGGGTCCCTCTACTCCCATTTTAACTTTACAACAATGCTGTGGAGTCAGTCAGGCTGAAACATAGACTTGCTTTGTGACTGATGTGGGGATTTGAACCCATGGCCTCCTCAGTCCTCTTTCAGTATTCCAGCCATAACTCTGTGTTAGCTTATTTGTCCCCTTCTTATCACACACTCCTTTCTTAGCACAAGACTTCCTGGTATGTCAGACCATGGTTTGCTGTGATGTCGCACCAGGAAGTCTTGGTTTCCCTGTTCCATCAAACCAGAATCATTGTGGTTGGCAATCCTAGTTTGTAGGGAGACCTCAAACTGAAGTTTCTGGTTTAGGTGTCACAGAAAGCTGGTTTAACACAGCATGGAAGCATGGAAAGCCAGGTTCATGAGGTGAGGAGGCAGCATGGGGGAGTAAGGTGCATGCCAGTAAATTGATCTGTTTATTGGAACATGAATGTGAAATCTGAAACAGGCCATTGAGTCTCAAAGAGTTTTCAATATCATGTGTGAAATTATATTTAATTGCAGCCCCGTTACACACCTATATATTTCTTGGGAAGTGTTGCTGAAGCAATAATTTGCATTTCCCTTTCTCTCTCCATTGAAGAAGAGCTGTGAATATCATCCTGCTGTATTTTCTCTCCCCAGTCTCTTTAGTTCTGTAGTTGAGTAACAGAGCAGGATGGAGTGAATAATATTCAAGAGTAGGGTCAGCGATGGGGCTTTTGTGGCCTTGATAGAGTTTGGCTTTCCGGAATGTGGGAGTTCACATTTTGCTAATAAGCCAGAAGTTCCTTACCCCTGTTGTACAGGAACAGGAAGTATTCAGGAATGCGATTATTGGCTGCATGACAAAGTAACACAAATGCCAGTGATGCTCCATTAAATCCGAATACCTAGCAGCAGTCTTCTACTTACGGTTCCTCCCCTTCCATACACACACATTACAGCAGTTTACAGAGATGACTCTATGCTACACATTGGTATTTGTGTCTATCAATTTCAACTAGATAAATTAGTTTAAGAACTTATTGAATATTAAAACATAGAACCACAGAATAGTAGAGCTGGAAGGGGCCAGAAGGCCACCGGGTCTAGCCAATTTATCACTTACGTTTATTTAACTGTTGCTCATTCTGTGATTTAGACTACATGAAGACTGAATTAGACATGAAGTCATTCCCCTAAACAAGCTAAGTGTGGTGCACCTTACCAACATATTTGGCACATAGACTTGACAAACCATTCCACAAATTTGGCACTATTAATGACTTCATTGTTCTCTATTGTTTTGTAGGTTGGAAGTTCTACAAATACCCTGAAAGCACTTCAGCTTGCCTTTTCTGATAGTAACACTCAAGCCATTTATCTCCTTACTGATGGGAGACCTGATCAGGTAGCTATGGAAGAAGCAAACCATGTCAGGGCAGTGTGATGATGTAACACTGGTAATATGACAAAGCATAGGCTTTATGTGGACCTAGGATGGCCAAACCGGGTCTAACCTGGCAGTTCAAGGAAGACACAGGCCTTTGTCTCCTCCTCATCTTTTGTTCCAGCCACATACTGGAACCATGAGAAATTGGGAGGAGGTCATGGTGGCAGTGGAGAGAGCAGAGGAAGCATGAATTTTCAGTCTCCGAAGTATGAAGTTCCAAAAACAGGTGGCTGGGAGCCAGGAGGGAATGGCATGAGGTTCCTGGGTGAACTGTGGCTAGCTGCAGCAGTGATGGTTGTGGGATGACCAAGACAATAGTAGAGGTGGGTCAGCTGAGGAGGGGAAGCAGCAATGAGTGGGGCACTGCATGCATGTGTGGAAGGCTAAGAAGGAAGGAAGGAGAAATAGCTTAGGTATGGGAGCAGATGGGGAAGATGAAGCTGCAGCAAATGGCTGAGGGAGGTGGGTATTGCGGAAGGCAAGTACATAGTTGATTTTAGTGGGGCATCAGGGAGGGAAATAGCATGATGGCAAAGCCAAAGCTCTCAGGCTGAAATGAGATTTCACACAAAATGCAGGGATGCTGCTATAAACATTCAGCTCCCCGTCTCTGACATCTCGTAGAATGGACCTCACATTGTGATGCCAAGGTGTTCCTTATTTCCCTTCCTAGAATCAGTAGCAACCACAATATATGGCTGGGGCAGGTTGTGGGGAATAATATATCATAACATCACAACTGAATGTCATGCATTCTGTTGGACATGATGGATACACAGTGGGGAGCTGGATGGGGAACTTCTGTCTTGCCTCATGAAGGTATATTTGTGCTTTGGAAGTTTTTACCATGTAAACTGTAAGCCAGGCTTCTCCAGTCTGGTGCCTTCCTGGTCAAAACACAACCAACATGGTTCAACCTATTTTCAAAACATCCCCTTAAAATGCTTGCCTGCTTCTGAGAGAAGGTTAGTGGTATTTTAGCTCTACAGGTTGTAATAGATTACTATGTTAAAATCCTGGTGTGTTATTTTTAATTCTTGAGATTCATTCCCCTCTCTTTCTCTTGCTCCCTCCCTGTATCTTCTGCTATTGTTATAGTATGATTTTGTTTTGTTCTATCATCACTCTAGCCTCAAAATGATTCATGGGCAACCCATGAGTCCAGGCTTGCATCTAATGACAACACATGTTTTAAACTAAGCAGAGTTCACAAACCAACACACCATGGGCTCACACATCGCAACAACCCAGAATTCAATAATTCTCCTTTATGTAAACATTGACTTGGTTTTCATGACACAATAAGCGATGACAACTACAAAGCCATGGTAGTTTAGTACATTGTCTGAACTCAGCACGATACCAACAAGCGTACCGTCCAAAAAGTAACATTGCAGTATCTTGCAAATCCCAGTTTGGAAATGCTTGAGAAAACCGGGGGTGTGGGAAACAGCCTTGGCAATGGAGTCTTTGCATTTTTGAGAGGAGAGTTATGTGGTCTTGCGCTACCCTCCCTTTTCCCAGTGAGCATAACCAGAGGGATAGCGGCCCCTAAAAAAAGCAAAGGCCAAGCAAAAAGGTGTCTGGAGGGGACATCCTCCCTCAATTCTCCCCTTCTTTGAAGCATGTTCCCAAGGTTTGGGTGGTCACCTCATTGGGAACATAATGGAAGGCTTGAAAGCCCAAGTTCTTATTTTTTTAAAATTCTTTAAAGATGAAATTCAAGCTGGAGTGAACCCAAAAGGGTTTGTCTTTGTGATGGGGAGGGTGGGAATCTTGAACTCTGGTGGGGGGGGGGGGAGTAGAGAGTCATTCTCGTGCCACATGTGGGTATCTGATTGAGGGGGGGCATCTAATTGCAAAGAAGCCACCCCACCATAACTAATTAAGCCAAAGGCTTAGATGTGCAAACTTTCCCATCATGTGCAAACTTGGCCATAGTTTGAAGGTAATTGATCTTTTAATTGATTCTGCCTTAATATATTTCTTTTCCCTTTCCTTTTCAGCCCCCCAATACAATTTTAGCCCAACTAGAACTTAAGAGGAACATTCCCGTTCATACTATTTCCTTTAATTGTGATGATACCAGAGCTAACAAATTTTTACATGAGCTGGCCAGTGAGACAGGTGGACGGTTTCATTACTATCACATTCGTTTGAGGGACCCTGATGCTCCAAAACCTTTTGAGGCAAGTCTTGACTGCTTAAAACTGTAACCCTATGAGTGTTTCCCTTCCTTATGAGTATTACAGTAAGTGCAGATGAAATATGTTATTGCACCAAATTCTTTAGAAAGGATTCTGTAAATTGCATGTTTAAAAGCATCCTTGTGTGATGCAAAATGGACAGAAGAGGGATCACAGCTAGTGGAGACAGTTTCTGCTCTTTCTCTTTGCTTTTGTGACTGACCATGTGCTTGGAAAGAGCAGATGAGGAGGAGGAGAGCAAGGGGGCTTTGCAACTGGAAGGGGATAAAACAAGTCTCCACCCTAAGTTGTGGGCCTTGGCAGGGGCCTAGCAATGCTGAGTCCTGATGCTGACTTTCTGTTATATCCAGCCTGGATGTACTGATGTCTACTATGAATGCCTGCAAAGAAGTTGCTTGCACTGGAAATGGATTGACTAGCCTTTAGGTTAGGTTGATTTTAGGTGTGGAAAATCAAGGCACTTAGATTAAATTTTCAGGAAAGATCTGATTTACCTGCTACTTCTCTCTGTCTGTCTCTCTCTGTCCATGTCTGTTTGAAACCCACCAAACAGTTCTCCCTGGTTTGTTTATGACTAGTTGGCTTCATTCTCCTTGCTAGTAATAGAGTAATATGGTGCTGGAATGACAGATACATGTTTTACTTTAACTTTGGGATTCTTATTAATGACAGAAACTGGAAATAGTAAGAAATGTGTGTAGTTATTAGGTTGCTAGGGTGTATCTATAACCTATATCCAAGAAAATGAAGTAACAGTATGATAACAAGGATGTATTAATGTTAGTCTCCTAAGATTTGCAAAAAAAGTTAACTCCAGCATTGTCCATCATAGTCGTCTTATCAAATAAGTATCTTTAGTACAGCTAAAAGTCATATGAATTTTCATCCAAAAGTTTTCTGCTATGGGATATTTTGTTTTTGTCAAATCTTTGGGTTAAAATGACACTTTTAAGAAGGGTTCAGGTTTTACCAGAAAAGGTTGACTGGAAATGAACACTAGAAAATAGAACATCAGAAAAAGAGGCATTGAAAATATAGAAATCTGAGGGGAAATTATTTCAACAAACCAGTTTCAACTTATTCAGAACGTTCCTGTTGTTACTGCTAGAATTATTATGCAAGTTTATTATCTGGTTTCAAGTGGACTCAGATTATGAATAAACTGTATATCTAATTCCAGAGGCCATTTTTTTTAAATTTTGGCAGTGTGAGGATATATACCTACTTAAAAAAGAGATTGAACGAGGAGAAGAAGAACTGAAGAAAATACAGACCTTTTGCACTGACAATGTATTGATGGATTTTTTTAATGGAGCAAAAGTCCTTCATGATAAGTATGCCTTTCTTTTTATTGCCTTTCTGATTTGCACCACTCTTTGGCTACCTTTTATATGTTTTGGCTTGGCTGAAAAGATCTGTGTTGCACAAGGATATATTTCATTCTGAAGAGGTTTAAAAGAAACACAGTAGTGTGCCTTGGGAAGAAGGGACTTTCTCTTTATAGAGCGAAAAATGAAAAGGGTTCTGCTCCTGATATTTAATTAGTGTGTGCACTGCAAACTAATAATGAATTGGAAAATATAGTGCTCAACTGAAACATGTGAATAAATACTTTAGGAGGCAGTGGAATGAGCCTCTATATATGCTTGCCAATTTATTTTGTTTTTCATCCCAGGGTTGATTCACTCCACTCCTGTCAATGGCTCATCTTCCCCTTTGCTTTGCTCTCTGCTCCTAGTTTGGTTCATTCATCACAAGCACATGCTGCTACTTTTAATGCCACCACAGATGCGGAAACTGTGGATTGAACACTGATGTGCAATGTCTCCTTTGGCAGGGGGCGGGGGGCAGGGGCAGACAGAGGATTCTGTTGCTCGCGCAGAGAGCCACATGCCCAAAGAATAAAAAAGCTGCTACAAAGGGAATGATTATGTGCATTATCCCTCCATCATTTTCTTCTTGGAGAAATGTTCCATTCACATCCACACACAAAGCTGTTTTATTCACTTGCAGCATGTCTGATTTGCTTCAAGACTAACTGCACATTGGAAAAACAAAGGCCAAGAAAAACACTCAGTTTCCTTGGACTTCCCCATTTATGAGTTTCCTGTTAAGTGGATGCCTTTTTGGTACTGTTTTTGTTGTCCAGGATGCAGAATTTACACCAAACACTTTAAGCAACAAACAGTAGTTCACTTAATCAGTTTTCCCCAGTGCATGTCAAGGACAAACATGACCTCCATGTTCTGAATGTGCACTTTTTCAGACTTCACGCTTCCCAGAAGGGCTTCTGCCAGTTGTGTTTGTATGCGCCCGTTGGCACAGATCATGACTTGTCTGTTTCTTAAACAGACATCGCAGGCAGCCTTTCACTGCAACCCCAGTAACCATGCCAGTTGAGGGACTGAATCCCCCATCTCCAGATAGGCCCTATTCTGCCTCCGAAGAGCCAGCATCAGCTCCACCACAGCCTGGTATGGATCGAGGTCAGGCACGCTCTGAGAGTCCAGCTAGAAAGAAGAATGCTTTATATGCAGGTAAAAGAGACTACAAGATTACTCAGTAAAACATCTCCCCTCTCTGATGTATGTTGGGCAGAAACATCCTTCTACTTCACGTTAGTTGACACTGTTTGCTGCGGTCCTTGGAAATCCTGGGAGCTTTTGGCCAGACAAGGAATGGAAAAAACCCCCAAAAACGTCTGAGTGAAATCCAGGAAGGACCCTGGTTCAGGCACTCTAATACTGCCAGGACCATTTGTAGTTTATTCTCTGACATATGGCTAATGATTATGGGTGATTCCCCCAGAATAAATATTCGTGCTGAGGGGAAACAGATTATTTCTTTACTTTCTTTCAACTGAAGTTCTTCTGTATTAGATTTCAACCTACAGAATCCTGTATATTCCTTGCACAAGTGGAACTTACTCTCAGATAAATATATATAGGATCGCACTCCAACTCCGCAACTTTCAAATTTCTAATACATGCTTAAAAATAAGCAAAAAACATTCAAAATTGGAGGTTGAAGAATACAAATATTAATACATTTGGCTTCGGGGAAGTATAGAAAATATATTAAGACAGCTGTATGCTTATTAATGAGCACTTTTCTTGGACAACACCTGTCTGAATGCTGGTAAGTTTGGCATTTTGAGAATCAAAGTAGCCATTTGATTTGCCACCTAGTTATTTACTTGTTTATATATATATATATATATATATATTTCTTTTTGCAGAACAAACAAAGAGTAGTATGCTTAGGACCCTACGCTTTGCACCAAAGTCTTCTGAACAAAGTCAAAATGGAAAGGCATCTCCTGAAAGAAAAGGCAAGCTATGGAAATGAATATAGTTCTTCTATTTCTGCAGTTCTGACACTTGTGTGAACTTCATTCACCTTCTACCTGCCATTCTCCTCCTTTGATGCCCATTAATTTCTGCACAAAAACTACAGGGATTTAACAATGTATTCAACTGTACCTTGTACTCTGTGGAAAATCAAACACTCTGTTGATCACTGTGTTGATCCTAAAGTCATCTTAGTGCAGCTGTGCATTGAGAAAGGTGAACACGAGCCAAGCTTTATCGCTTTAGAACAGTGGGTAGCTTGAGATGGTCTGGGTACCAATTTACGTCTACCAGAAAAAACCAAGGACTACCCGTTCTCCTGCCCTTGGCACTGCTGCATTGCTACTGCTTGGCACTTTGTACATATTCCATGTTTGTACAAATTGCAGAAAAGTTATTACTGTTGCTGTCGCTACGATAGTGCATTTATATCCCACCTTTTTTCCTCTTGTTAGGAACTCAAGATAGTTTATACAGATCTCCACGCCATTTTATTCTCACAATAACCTTGTGAGGTAGGTTAGGCTGGGAGCGAGTGACTGTCCCAGTGTCATCCAGTGAGTCTCTGGACTGAAGGGGACTAGAACCTGGATCTCCTGAAGAAGGTTTTCCCCTTTCTCAGCCCCTCTGCATGGGAGAGGAGGAATGTAAAGAAAAAAGTGCCTGGGTTGGAAGGCCTGGGCATGACGGTCCTAGTGTAGATTGTGGCTGCAAGTGCTTGTATGAAAGTGAAAGAAGTTATGATCCTTTTGTTCCATTGTGGCACCTCAATTGGGGAGTGACTTCCCTAGAGGGGCTTTCCTGGCAGCTACATTGTAATCTTTTCTGCACCAGGTCGAGATCTTATTTTCCCAGGCAATTTAGTTTTCCAGTTTCCAATGTTCTTAAATCAGTCACTATATTTTAAATCCCTGCACTGCTGCAGTTTTCTTTTTTAGTTTTATATTGTAACTTTAAACTTTTAAAGCTTTACATTATGTTTTATTGTACTGCGTACTATTGCTTTAATAGTTGTGAACCACCCAGAGAGTTTCTGCTCTTAAGTGTCATAGAAGTGTCCCAAATAAGTAAGTGTGTGACGCATTTATCATACCACATAGTTTAGCTCTCAGTAGGTGGTGTGAGACAAGCTGCAGCCTCTCAGTCTAAGACAAGCCATAATGTTGGACTGTTGCAAGGATGAGTGAATGAATATAAGAAATGCTGAAATGTCAGTTTGTTTAATGTAAGTATTTTTTAGTCAGTGCTTTTAGTGGTTGGCCTGAAAGATCATATGAAGGTCAGGAACAAGACCTAGAGTTGAGGTGTGTATATATATATGCACATTCCTGATTTGGGTTCTGGTGTTCCTTGTGGGACACAGAGAGAAATAAGAGTTGTGTGATCCCTCCAGGTCCCAGCAAAGTGCCCTCCACCTCAGCAGCCATTGGTTTCTTCTGCTCTGGCTTGAGCTGTACGTGCTCCTGGGTCAGGCCTAGATTTTTTACCTGGGTAAAGGCGTTTTGGCCCCACTGATGCAGCTTTTTAGAGAACCTCCGTGCCCTCTACAGCTTCCCTGCCGATTCACCAGTGTATCTTCTTTCAAGGTCTTGTGTTTGTCCTTCTAGTGCTGGTCCCATCCTGATGGCACCTATATTGCCCAGCACCCTGAGTTCCTGACAAACCATGCCTCTGTTCTGACACATGCACAAAACCATGTAATCTTGTTTTAACATTTCCTCTACAGAACGGAAGACATGCAAAACTGGGAAAAATATGGATAAAGAGTAAGTCTGTCAGTCTATTTAACTAGTGATTCTGTATGCAATGATTTTTTCCCTTCGTGGGAAAATATATCTTACTCATTTGATCACTTATTCTTTGTCCTGCTCTCTCTCTCTCTCTCCCATAAGCCCTTTAGATATCCCTTCAGCTCAATGGTTAAAGAATCATGGCTTGGTTGCTAGGCGACTCACCATAATGGATGCCTTAGCCCCCACCGCTGTTCCTCGCACCACTAAATACATTCCAATTCTGGACAAACATGTTGTTTCAAAAGTATTCGATGATGTGAGTCTCTTTTTATGTTTTTCCAGGAGAAATTCCAAATTAGCAACCGTCTCTGAATGCAAGTATCACATAATTGTATGATCAAGTATTCCAGCATACAGTTAGCACTGTGCTGAACATCCATCCCCCCATTTTATTTTGAGGTCTGATGGAGACGTGTGTAGAAGCAGTCCCTTATAAAACTTACAGTATAAAGTCTTCAATTTTGAGAATGTATTATTTCTTTTGTCTGTTGTTGCTTTTGTGCCATTCCTTTTCTTCTCCCTGAATCAGTCATATGAGTGTTCAAATATAATGAATAGGAATGGCACAAAAGCCATTCAAGATATTTTGTAGCCAATCAAATTTGACTTTGTGATTACATTCCCGGGGGCAAATTGTATTGTTGTGTTTGCAATTCTATTTTGATGCATTGCTTAATTATTAATGTTTTACATATTGATGATTATGATGATTATATCTTGAGTCTCATTTCTTTGGTAGAAAGGTGGAGTACAAATCAAATAAATAAAATCATTTGAGAGAGCAGGTGAAAATTTTTGTAGGCATTGCTGAAAATACCTATAAAAGATTGTGCGTGTGTACATGCCTTTTGATCTTGCAAAAAATAAATAAATCCATGAAATAGTGAATGGAGACCTTCTCTCAGCAACTCAGTTCTGATGTCTGCCGTTTGTTTTCTGGAGAATTACATAGTGTCATTCCAAGAGACATTCTGCTGAAAAAATGGAACCCAGAGTGGTTAGCTGGATGGCTGCCTTCGTATTATGCATGCCCTCAAAATGTGGACGAGGCGAAGCGGTTTTGCCCCCATTTCTACAATCCACCCACTACCATATGTGCTTTGGAAGTGATTCCCACCGCTTGCCAGCAGGTGGCAATGCGCAGCCACAGAGGGTTCAAAAACTGACTTTGAGTGATAGTCACTAATGTTGCTTGTCCTGGCACTGGCATGCCACAATTTGTACTCAGCAGGAAAAGAGATCAGGCTCTGCTGGATAATTGAATTTTTAAGGCATGAATATGGTCTCTAAGGTACTTTAAATACTAACAATGAAGGACACCGTGAGTGCTGTGCAACATAGGCTGTACAATAGTGCAACCATGAAAACTGGTCAGTATTTCCTATGAGGTTAGCCCAATTTATTTTTCATTTGCATAATATGATTGTATAATGCCTTTCTGTCAAAGATCTCAAGGTGGTCCTTAGTTGAAAGGGTAGACGTGGATCTGATAGACAATAGTACTAGAGGAGAAAGGGAATGGGGAGGAAAGAGAAAAATTAGCACCTCCAGATACTCGCTGCCACCAATCTTACAGAGAGCAGCTGGTTAGGCTACTGAGAGAGGATATTTGGGTAGGGGAGGAGTCAGATGGCAGCTCAGGTGGATGGAAGGAGCAAAGGAGGGTGGTTTGGAGACAGGTGTTCCAAGTTCAAACACTTAACTCTGCTCTGAATACCGTTTCCCCCAAAATAAGACCTAACTGAAAAACAAGCCCTAGCATGATTTTTCAGGATGCTTGTAATATAAGCCCTACCCCAAAAACAAGTCCCAGTTAAGATCGTCAGCCAGATGGGCACATTTAGTACGTCTGTTGCAACACAATTCGAGGTTTGGAGAGTTATGACGATGTTCCAGAAGAAGATGACATGGCTGTATTTGAATAAATGTAGCTTTTTGTACATGAATAAATGTAGATTGTTATACATGAAAAAATAAGACATCACTTGAAAATAAGCCCGAACACATCTTTTGGAGCAAAAATTAATATAAGACCTGGTCTTATTTTGGGGGAAATACAGTATTACTGAATGATAGTGATCCAGGGCTTGGGAATGTGTGACTCTCCAGAAATTGTTAGATGGCAACTCCCATCATCCCTCTTCATTACCTCTCTTGGCTAAGGATGATGGGAGTTGCAATCCAAGAACATCTGGAAGACACATATTTCCCACCCCTGCCCTGCACCAAACTGCATTCCTTCCCCAGTATGAGGACCTGGTTAAAAATTGTAAGTAACTCTGTCTATTGAAAGTAAAATCAAATACAAAATTGAAACATGTTTCCTTCCCACTTATTTTTCATTTGGCATATGATTTTTCTTCCACCCCAAGCCACCCAAGAAAAGCATCGATCTTAATCTTACTGAAAATGTAATTAGGGTGCAGGTGGGGAGGGCATGGCATGATAAGCTAGTTCAAAGCAGAATAGATGTGTATCTACAGTCACTGTCTGAACCATAGGATATATTTGACACTCTTAGAAGGTGTAGCGGTAGGTTTCCTTACCTTAGCAGACGGACTTTTACATGAACTCCTACCATCTCAAGTAAAGCTGATGGCTTCAAAGGGGAGACCCTTCTTAGTGGTGGTGGCCCACTTATTATTCATTGTTTTTTATGAAGAAGCCCACCTGTTGCTCCCATTGTTATCCTGTGTATTTCCCAGGTTTTCAGTTCCTTTATTAGCATTGTTACTGTTTTATACTGCTTGAGTTTTACTATCTTATTAGTCATTGATTTATAATTACTTGCACTTTAACTATTTTTATTGTAAATGGCCCCGAGCATTTATTAAATTAAAGGACAGTATATAATTACAGGCAGTCC